GTCAAAAGACACACAATTTCAGTTAGACAGAAAGAGTAAGTTCCAGAGCTGGAGCAGTCAACACAGTGACTGCTGTATTCTTGGAAGTCACTGAGAGCAGTGTTCGTACTACAAAAAAAAGTGTGTGATGCAATGTGTGTGTCCGTTAGTTCAGATAAGCCATTCCACACTAAATACATATTTCAAACATATTATACCCATCAAGATATATATATATAATTTTGGTAAATTAAATAGACAAAACAAGAAGAGACAGTATTTCATTTAACATTGTATTGAGGTCTGAACCAGTGCAATAAGAAAAAAAAAAAGCATAAGGATTTGAAAAGAAAAAATAAAACTTGCAACTTACAGACTACATGGTTATATACATAAAAACTCTAATAATCTACAATTAGAATTATAAGAATTTTGGCAAGGCCACTTTATATGTGGTTGATATGTAAAAATAAATTCTATTTCTGCATACCAGCAACAAATTTGAAACTGAAATTTAAAAATCACTATCATTTAATACGGCTACAAATGGAGAGAGATGGCAATATTTGTAAAGAATCTGTCTCCATTATATATATAAATATGTAGTTTCTTCGCTCTGTCAGCTGAGAGTCCAGTTATAGTGCCAGCCTAGTAACAAGCATACCTGGCGCCCATATCTCGTTTTCTAATACCATTCTCAAAGAACAGGAACCAGAGATTTATGGAGAAATAGCTGATTCTACCCTGAGGCAAGATATATATAAGATGAGCTTGGAGATTTTGTAGTGCCAAGAAGTGAAGAGGCTCTCAAAACCAAACCAAAACTGGCTGTGATGGTGCATACCTGTAATCCCAGCAGGACTCAGGAGGCTGGGGGAGGAGGGGTGCTGTGAGTTTCAGGCTAGCAAGGACTACAAAGTGAGTTCAAAGTCACCCTGAACTACATAGCAAGACCCTGTTTCAAAGAAAAGAAAAAAAAAAAAAACAAGGGATAAGTTGGATAAATTAAGTGTGGCATATTCATATAGTGGAGTAATATACAGAAACAAGAATGTACAAAGTAATACCATAAACTGGGCGTGGTGGCACACGCCCATAATCCCAACACTCGGGAGGCTGAGGCAGGAGCATTGTTGTGAGTCCGAGACCAGCCTGGGCTACAAAGTGAGCTCAAACCAGTCTAAACTGCATAGCGAGATCCTGTCTCAAAAAAAAAGTACTACCATAGCAAACAATAGGGATGACGCTCACAAGCACAGTAGCAAGTGAAATAAGGTAGCAAATATATATATATACCCTGTATTTTCCACTCGAACCGTGTCTGTTCTTCATATGAAAATTCATCGAGCTGTCCACCTGGAATGTGTGTGACCTGCTCTACAAATGGCATTCTTCAACGCAGGCTTACTGTAAAAAGCCATCATTTATACTAGAAAGAAACCATTGTATATTTAGGAATCAACTTAACAAATACTAGCCTTTCCCCAGATGCAGAAACATTAACCTTCGTGAGACAGGAAGACAGGTGAATAAGTGCATAGCTCGGGTTTGAAAAGAGGAAGCCTCCATAGCACAGAACTATTTCCCGCAAATTAACCTGCAGGCTCAGTGTGGTTACTTTCACAATGGGCTTCCCCATGGACATTGACAAAATGACCCTCAAGTGTACATGAGAGAGAGAAAAATCTAAGCAGAAAGCAAGACACTGCTAAAGGACGGGGTGTGGGTTGGGTCATTGATAAAACTTTGAATATAAACGACAAAGACTGCCCATCTCTGCCTGGTTCCCAATCCTCAGGTAAAGGCTAGGGATGTACAGAGCACTTAGAAATGTAGTCCACGTCGTCTTGTAAATATGAACCCTTGTGTACCCTAGCAGACAGCAATCACACTTAGAGATGTGTACGTTATAGAAGCTCTTAGCCATATATAAGGATGTTCCTAATGGGGGGAAGGGAGAGAGTCAAGTTCTTATTAAGAGGAAAAGGAAAATGGATACATAAATTCATACTGTGGAATATGACATGAAGCAAAGTGATTGATGTGTTACAATGACCCTCAGCAACAGGATGAATCTTAGAATAATCTTGAGCAAAATATGTGAGCAGACATAAAGCTAACACAATGGGATATGATTTCATGAAACCCAAGCTGATCTAACAATATATTCTGTAGGCATGTATATATATATATGGCCTCACTATGTAGTTCAGGCTGAACTTGAACTTACTATGTAGCCCAGGATAGCTTCCACGTCAAATTGATCCTCCTGTCTCAGCCTCCCAAGTGCTGGGATTACAGGCATGTGCCACCACGCCTGCCAAATGCCATAAAAATATTAAAGATAAAAAGCCAAGGAAAGATAAGCCGAGAAGTCAGGGCTGCAGTTATCGGGAGGCTGCAGGAGGCAGAGAGGTGAAAGTTGAGAGAGCAGAAGCAGGTACAAGGTTCTGGTAAATTCATCCCTCACACGTGGTGAGGTAGATTCAAGGAGCTGATTATATATATATTTTTTTTCTGTCTTTTGGAGACAGGGTCTCATGATACAGTTCAGGCTGGCCTTGAGCTCACTTTGTAGCCCAGGCTGACCTCAAACTTGCAATGATCCTCCTGCCTCAGCCTCCCAAGTACTGGGATTACAGGTATGCACCACCATGCCTGGCTGACTTTTTTATTTTGTACAATTTTTATGTCAATATTTGGAACATCTGTATACTTTAGTGAATCAGTATTTACCAATTC